GATGTACTAAGTAAAAATCTAGGACTATTGGAAGTCATCAAAAATGAAGTGGGACACAGAGATCAACATCCTAGGCATTAGTGACTGGGAAGGCCTGGTCAGAGCCATTTTCAATCAGACAATCATATAGTTTACTGTACCAGGAAATGAAATACGTAGGAAGCATAAAACTTTAAATTTACACGACAGCATTGTACATTGTAACTAAAATAAAAATTTATAGTGTATAAATAAAGTAACAAAAGTTTATATATTTCCATATATAAACTTTATTACTCCATCAAGTTCCATGAACTCCATCAAGTTCAAGACACTTTTGTAAGCAGTGGTACTTGCCATTTAATACATCACTAAACGAATGGAAGTTTGGGGAGTTTAACCATGTCAATGCAGTCTTTTTAACATGATTACCAGGGTGGGGAGGGGGAAGGAAGAGGGGGGCACTTTAGAGATTTTTGGAGATTAAGAACCAAAACATCAGAAGGAGCCAAATCAGGACTATAAAGCAGATGAGAAGAAACATCAAGAGCATTCTTGTGACAGAGGACTCATGGGTGAAGCTTTCTTGGGCATTTTTCTGCTAAAACTTTGAGTAGATTTCTCAAAATACTCTCATGATAAGCAAATGTCATCATCATTTGGCGCTGCAGAAAGTCAATAGGCAAAATTCCCTGAGCATCAAAAAAAACTGTTGCCTTGACCTTTGCTCTTGAATAGTCCCTGCTCTTGCTTTAACCAGGGCCACTTTCACCTCTTGGTAGCCATTGCTTTGTGTTTTTTCTACAAGATAGCACCGATAAAGCCATGCTTCATCTTCCATTACAATGCTTGCAAGAAATTCTTCAGAATCTTGATCCCACTTGTTTAAAATTTCCATCAAAAGCACTGGTTTTCGTCTGCAGCTGCTCTGGGCCCAACGGTTTTGGCACTTGTCGAGCACAAAGTTTGCTCCACTTTAATTTTTCAGTCACAATTCTGTAAGCGGAACCAGTTGAGATGTTTATAGCATGGGCTGTTGTTTCTGCTGTTAAATGTAGGTCCAATTAAAGATTAATGTTTCATTGCAAATTGAAGTAGAAGGTCTCCCGCTGAGGCATCTTCAACATTGTATCATTCTTTTAAAAATGAGTTAATTATTTATCAGCTGTGCGTTGCGTTGGGGCACCGCTCCAAAGCATCAGTGATTTGGCCATTCTTTCACCCAAGCTTCCCCATAAATCCAGTGTTTGCTTTTGCTTCGATTTTAGCAGAAATCACGTGGCTCTGATAGGAATTCTTTTCAAGCTGATGTCTTCTCCTCGGGCCTCAGAGTAGCTCCTGTGCAGATGCATTGTAACAAGTGAGTAGGAATTTATTTTGGTGCAGAAAAGAAATCCACCCATATTTTTGTCATAACTTATCATGAACTGTTTGAAGACCACTTGTATCAAGGTTGTACAAAGAGTTGTTATTTCAGTGCGATTTTTGTTGAATGTACACTTGAGGAAAAAAACATGTTGCCGCCGGACACGTGGACTTTTTTTTTTTACTTAGTAGTTCGCTTGTATTGATGGGCCACACATAAAGCAGGAACTATTAATTGTTCCCAACGCCCTATAAGACAAGCTTGTCTCCTACTCTCACACATTACAGCCTTCATTTTGGCAGCTGCCAGGCACTATCATGATCCCCCACAGGGAGGGAACTGGCGATTGCAGATTGCAGCGGGAGAGTGGGGAACCGAATCTCATCTAAAGGAGTCCTGTGACAGCTGGCCACTGGGGGCTTCACTCATTGAGGATAGTTAGGGAGCAAGGCAGGAGGCCTCCTTTGTCACAGGGATCCAATGATGGAACTCTGGGGAATTACTATGCCCCACCTCTCTGATACTTGAATTCCTACCCAACATCCTGAGAAAGGGCTTCTGTGTAGCCATTTCCCGGGATGGGGGACACCCTGTCCTGGAGTTGTCTGCTCCACCTGGACAACTCTCTCTCTGATAGAAGGTGCTTCCTGATGTCAAACCAAAGATCTGCCTCCCTTTACCTTCCACCTACTGATCCTAGCTCTCCCTGCTCTTGGGAGCCTCACCCAGCGTGTATAACCCATAAACCCGCTTTTAGAGGCAATTTTCATACCTCTCAAGTTGCTACATTTCTGGGCTGAGCCTCCCCTGTTCCTCAGTTATGTGGTTCCTGGTTTCTCCTGACCCTGATGCTGACCCTTGAGTATTCCAGTTTGTCATTATCCCCCCTATGGTGTGCTGCCTGCACGAGAATACCGTGTGCGGCAAAACCCAACAGAGCTGTCACCCCCCACCCCCTGCACCCTCTCTGCTCCCGCAGCCCAGCATTGCATGAGCTATTTGCCATCTATTATTATATCATGACTCTAGTCGAGCTTATCATCAACCAAAACCCCTGAGTGCTGCATCTGTTTTTCTCCCCCAAACCTGCATGCGGTTGCTAAGCCACATCTTGCACATTCTGTAGCCGGTTACTGAACTTTCCATCTGTAGATTTCAGTGTCTTTCTGAGCAGTTTCTGCTTCAAAAGTGAGGGCCTTTGCCTCTATACACACATATTAAGGGTCTGAAATAAATTGAGCCTCTGTAGCAAGTAAGCAAATGAGTGGTCCTCGGTTAATAGGGAGGCCCCGGGAAACTTGCATCCGTGTGTCTGCCCTTCTCTCTCACTGGTATGCAGGAGTCACCGACAGGCAGTAGTCTTCAGATCCTTGGGATATGTTGGAAAAAAAAAACAGAAAATAGCTGTGTTTGCATAATCACCCTGATTGTTTCTGGAATGTTACAGCTACAGAGGAGCTAAGAGATGTTGTAGCCCATCCCAAACTCTCTTTTGAAACATTTGGAAACCAAGCGCCTAGACAAAGGACGAAAACTGTCTAGAGAGACTGAGCACACTGGTGAGAGAGGCAGGCTTAGAACTCGGGCCCCTGACATACTAGAAACGAAGCTTCCAGGCCCCTGGGAGTGCTGGTGGTGTGGTGGTTGAGCACTGGGCTGATAAACGCATGGGCAGCAGTTCCAAGCCACCAGCTGCTTTGAGGGAGAAAGACAGGGTTTCTGCTCCCGTGAAGAGCTCCAGTCGTGAAACCCCATAGGAGCCGTTCGTTCTGCCCTGTAAGGTAGGCGTATTATGGCAGCAAGGCTTGGTTTGGGTTTTACCAGCTCTCTGCCACATGCTTCCCTGATGCGATCGATGGCTGTGTCCAGGTTGGCTTGTATGGGGTTCTTCCTATATTACAGGTGGAGGGCGATAGAGAATGAGATCCCCCCTGGATCCCTCCCTCAGGTGTCAGCAGGGGGCCTGGTCCCAGAAGAGTCCCCCAGAGACTGTGGGGAGTACTTGGAAGCAGCTGTGCTGGTCTGCTCAGTGTCCAAAGAATCCTTATTTTTAATTTTTAATGGTAACTTCTTCGCAGACTCTTGGAGGACAAGACATTGACCCTTTCTTTATTGCCTTGCCTGGTTGCACCTGCACATGTCTTGGAGAAGCCAACATTTTGTTGTTCCTATAGTAGCCTTATTGAAAAAGTCCGCCCAGAGGATACCACCTTCACCACTCCCTCCCCAAGACACACCAGGAAGGGTCTCTTTTCTCGCCACGGCAAAAAACAGAAGCCAGTCTTAGGAGTGGAAAGGATGGAGAGGCAGGAGACGGGGGCCGGGGTGGGGGAGCACTGTTCTCAGCCCTGGTCTTCTGAACGGCTGCCGGCTGCCACTTCTCTGCGCTCAGAAGACTCCCAGGGGCAGGGGATCAGAGTCCTGGGGCTCCAGACAGTCTAGGAGAGGCTCAAGGTCATGCGAGGCAGAGACAAGGAGAAAGCACTTGGTAACTCTGGGACCTGATAGGCGTTTAGCTGAGCAGAGTTTTAGGGTATAAAAAAGACCCCCATCTCAAATATAATTTAAAGAGAACATTTATTAAGTCTTAATCAAGACAAAACAACACAATATCAACTCACAACACAAACAAGGCACAGACACAGCATCCAGATGAGTGGGGCACCGACAGGAAGTTAAATGGCGTTCACAATTGGGAAGCAACATAAGTCAGGTGTGGGCAGGTGGCCAAGGAACTGTTACAAAAGCACGATTGGTGGCAGTTCAAGAGCTCACAGCTACGACGGGGTGGGGGAGGGGAGCATGACTGGGATTGGGATACACACATGCTTCGACAGAAGGGCTTACGAGGCAGGTCCTGGGCCTTCCCACCAAGGCAGTCAGAGTGAGACTGATAAGGGGGCATGAGCATGACTATGTGACTCCTGTACTCTCCCAAGTACAGTGACCGCCATCCATCAAGGACACACCTCGGGAGGCCCCACGGGGGCTGTCCCTCCCTGGGCTGGCTGGGTGGTGAGTAGAGGCAACCGGCTCTCCAAGGTACTCCATCTGAGGGCAGGGTTATCAGCATCCCCGGTTCGTGATCAGAGAGAGCATTGAATGGAAGTTTAATCTATGTGGGGACTGCACATGGATTTGGGGCCGTCACTACCACCTCTAGCCTTTTGCAAATTCAGTTCTAATACACAGGGCAAGGGAAGGACATCATGCTTGGTAAAGTGGGGTGGCAGCGAGAGAGGAAGGCCTTTGACCTGATGGATGGACACAGTGGCTGCAACAATGGGCTCGGGCACAGGAGCAACTGTGAGGATGGTGCAGGACCGGGCACCCTTTCATTCTGCGGTGCACACGGTCGCTGCAGGACAGAGCCCACTCGATGGCACCTAACAATAATCTATGTGGAAATAGTAGATGGCGATGTGCATGGCACTGGCTGGGCAGGTCAGCAGGAAGAAGCCCATGAGCTTAGCCCGCCCATGTGTACTTTGCACCTACTCCATTGCCTTCGGTACCAGGCACTCTCCCCGTACTTAATCCACAGTGCAGCTGTCACTGTGAGCAACGATGACAATGACAGTGGCTGCTCCATCCCCAGACATGGAGTTAAAGGTCCCAGCAGCTGGAGGCGCTCACATTAACCCTGTCCCCCCAGGCACCATGTCCACGCAGCGGCTCCGGAACGAGGACTACCATGACTACAGCTCCACGGACGTCAGCCCAGAAGAGACCCCGTCCGAAGGCCTGAGCAACTTTTCCCCGGGCTCCTACCAGCGTTTTGGGGATAGCAACGGCACAACGTAAGTCGCTCTACCTGCTACCACCCCAGGGACCCGTGCACCTAAGCGCTGTCTATTCCAGCGCCGTCTCTCATAGAGCTCCTTCCACCTCCTGTTCCATCAGTTCCCGGTAGCACAGCTGGAAGTAAGAGGCAAAGAGACTGGGTGGGGACGACGGCATGGAGGTCGGTTGGAAGTCCTTGCCTGCTACGCTGTCTGTTGTTAGTGAGTACGTTTGTTGTTCATCGGCTGTGTTGATCCCAGAAGGCTGGTCCTGTGTAAATGCCTGAACTTGAGAGAGGCATCTAGAGAGGTCATTCTCTTCATTCAGAGCCGTGTTAGAGACCTTTCAAAGACCAAGCCTAAATGAAAGTCTCTTCCACAAAGAATGCCCCTGGCCTTTGTCTGTCTGTCTGCAACACCAGGCAGCCAGTCCACGTGGCTGACGAAGTGGGAGCAGGAGGGAGAATTCCTGCAGTTAGAAGGGTTAAGAGTGATGGATGAAATCCACAGTGGGTACGTCCACAGAGACCAGGACCAGCTTGGCGGCTGCCCAGGGGTTTGCGAGGGAGCAGGGGGGCGGGGGAATGGGGAGCTAAAGAAAAATGTTCCCACATCGACTGTGGTGCTGACTGCACAAATCTTAGGGTGATTGAACGTTGACATTGTATGATATGTGAAGTATGTGCCAGTAAAACTGTTTTTCAAAGAGAAACACAAAGAGGGTGAGAGAGAAGGGGACATTCGCTTTGCCTCCCTTAAGGAGGGCTTCCCTCATAGGTTCTGAGTCCCCCACATGTCTGGGCTGAGTCTCTCCCTGTATTTCTCTCTGAGTCGCTATAGGAGGGTTACTGGTCCCGAGGAGCACCCTGGCTGCCGTAACTCCCCGATCCCCAGCCTTAGCAGATCCCAGCATCCCATCTTCTGCAGCCCCTTCATTCATCCTCGAGCTTAACTGTCAACCTCTCTGTGCTCCTCCCCTTTGGTGGGGGGGGGGTGAGTTACAGAGGGCTCTGTACATCTTAGATTCGCGGTTCCCCCTCTGACTGCCCTGGGGACACGTGGGTGGATTTCTCAGAGTCCTCGCTGCTGCAGCTCCCTCTGGCCACAGCCTCCTCTTAGACAAGTGTAGCGCTTTCCTTTATGAACTGGCTTGGGCTTGGTCAGTCAATAGTGCTGAGCCCTGCTGATCCATCCGCTAGCTCACTTCTGCTCACAAAGTGTCAAGCTTGAGAACGGCTGGCTCCCGGGGCAGGCTCTCTAGGAAGTGCATTTGCTTGCCGTTTTCACCAATGGGAAAGGCTGCTGGAGGTGCAGTGTCTGCTGTGAGGGCTGTCCTTCCCCTCTCCCTCTCTAAACATAGCACCCCCTGGGCAGCAGCAGCTCCCGGACGCCAGTGACAGCTTCCCTGTCACGGAGGCTCACTGTTGTGAAACACTCCCCATGCTTTCCCTTCCTGTTTTGGCTCCTTCTCGTTTTTCAGGCATCCACTTGTCTAGACAGAGCTTGCCGTGTGGCATCTGAAATTTTTTAATTTGAGTCTCTCTGGAGCTCAAGACCAGATGAGTGAGCAGCTTTAAGAAGCTGGTATTCCTGTATTATTATACACACACACACTTTTTTTTTTGGCTTCATATCAAGTGATACCAAAAACTAAACTCACTGCCATCAAGCCATTTCCAGCTCAGAGCAATCCCACAGGAAACAAGCGTGCCTGTGTGTAAACCTTTACTGGAGTGAGACTGCCACATCTTCCGACCTCGGAGCAGCTGGTGGGTTCAAACAGCCAACCATTTGCTTAACAGGGCTCTTTCCTGCTGGGGGATTCCAAACCAGAAAACCAAATCCACTCCAGCACACCAGTTCTGGCTCAGAGCAGCCCTGTGTAGGATTTCTGAGACTGTAAATCTCTGTGGCAACAGGAGTGGCAGCTAGTACACCAAACCAAACCAAACCCGTTGCTGGCAAGTGCGCTCATGCACCTGATCTCACAGCGTCGAGCTGCCCTGCCGGTTTCCTTGGGAGTAGTCTCCACAGAAGCAGACGGCCAGACCCTGCTTCCGTAGCACCTCTGCATGGGTTTGAACTGTTACCCTCTAGATTCATGGTTGAGCACCAATCATTTGTGACACCCAGGGATTTAGGAAAAGGTATGCCCTCTCTCTGGTCTGTGGGTAGCACAGACCGTTGGTGCTGCACCACAGCTAACATGAAAGGCTTGCACGTACCCCATGATGCCGCGGAAGAAAAGCCTGGTGACCTGTTCCTCTAAAGGTCACAGCCAAGAAAAGCCTGTGGCACAGTGCCATGCTCTGTCCCAGGTGACATTCTCCTACGTCACGATAGACTCAGTGGCCACAGGTTTTGGGTTTTGGGGGGGTTGTTGGAACTAGAGTGGCCAAAAGAACACTTCCTTTGGGCCCGTTTTGGGAATTGGGACATCTTCCCAGTGTACATTATTCCAAGAGGACACCACAGTGGCACAGTGGTTAAGCAGCTTACTGCTGGCCGAAAGGGTGGTTCGAATCTGCTAGCTGCCTGGTGAAGACAGACAAGGCAGCCTGCTTCCATCGAGATTGACAGCCTCGGGCACCGTGCGGGCGGGCACTTAGGCTGTGCTCTACAGGGGCACCGGGAGCCAGGGAACATGACAGCAGTGGGTTTGGTTTGATTTTGTCTTAAAAAGATATTCTTAATTGTTAAGGCCCTTCCTCCCTTGAGACTGCAGGACAGGGTAGATGACTGATGGCAGGCAGCGCAGTCCCATCTCAAGTGGCTACCAGAGACAGGCCTCGCTGGGGAATCGAAGGACTGGCCGAGTACGTCCAGCCTGGGATGCAGGGCTCCCAAAAGCACTCACTTGAGAGATGTGTCACCTCCGATAAAGGTTTGATCTGACCCGGGGGACCTCGGTCACCTAGAGGAACCTCCAGTGTGTGGGGAGAACTGGGGAGACGTTTCTGAGCTGGGTTCTTGTTGGATTCTGAATCCCACCCCACCCTTCTGCTCCCCACCATGCTACCCGGTTTGCTGTGGCACAGAGCCTTGCCTGGGACCAGGTCACCTAGAGGCCACGGGCTTGCTACAAAAGCTAGCAGGGGTGGCAAGTCGAACACTTCCCTGATGGTATGCTTAGTGACGTTATTTCCTAAAAGCTGGCATATCCAGCTGCTGGCTGCTTGAACAACAGTCTCCTTGTCCACAGCGGGCATGCTTTCCTTCTGGCCACCGTGCTGTGCTACGTCCGAGCAGCCATTGATGAACCTCTGCGGTTCCACCCCAGGCCGGCCGGCTGAGCAGCCGGCTGCCGTGCTTGGATCCGCAGTTCTCAAAGTGCGGCCTGCAGATGCCAGGTCCCCGAGGAGCGCTGCGAGGAGCTTGGGAGATCACAGCTGCTTTCCTGCATCACTGAGATGCTCTGTGCGGTTTTCACTACGGTGACATTTGCACACGCGGTGGCTGAGCAAAGATGAGCGTTTCTCACAGCCACACCGTGCCAAGGGAAGAAAGGAGCAGGAGAGGAGGCAGCAGTGAAGCAGATATATCATCCACTTTATGACACTTCGACCCTCAGTACACATCTTAATATCCGGCGTGACGCAACGGGAGGTGCCCATGAAGCACTTCTACTGAGGGATGTTGTCTCAAGGGACGGTGCTTGAGTGCTTGTGGCGTTGTGAACTGAACTGGCTGGCTGAGAGTATGTATCTCTATATCTGTATTTATCTCAAGGAACACTAGTTTAATGAAAACAATAATTAACCAGCACACTATAGGCTTTTCAAACCCAAGTTCTTGTCAGACGTTAAGAAATTCAGCGATATTTTTGGCCATACTAAGATGTGTGCTTCCAAGTGAAAGTCAGAAAAGCCCTGTACCCAGCACTGAGGCTTCCCTCTGCCTGGCGACGTCTCTGATTCCATCAGTGGTGTCTTTGATGTTACGTAATGAGAGGTATCAGCAGTTTGACGATCTTCATTACTCACGAAACCAGCATTTTCTGAATGGCCACTGTGTGGCGGTAGAAAGCTGGGCAAGATGTCCATTCAAAGAGCAAGGTGGCCAGTGGATTTAATTGTAACCGAGTCTGCGAAGTTCAGATTCCACCTTGTACCCCACCATTAAGAAACGCCCGCCGCTTGACTTGGGCGTCGTACCAGAGAAAAATCACACTCCTAAAATTCTCCTTCCCTTTCCAAGTACACGTCAGAGTTTCTTTGTGTATACGACATATGGAGCACACGGCCTTGTGGATGGGCGCAGAGACAGATGAACCAGCCGCCGCGTCCTGCCCGCGAAGCACCGCATTGAGGGATCTGCCGAAAGCCCTGCAGTGCCACGCTGCTCACCTGTACTTGTTTGGAGAATGAATTTATGCTTTCAGGAACGATCTGTTATTTGTATTAGCAAGTAATGGACTTTTGTTGTTGTTCTTAATTATAATTAAAACAACTCGTTTCCAGCACAGTGGGTATATAGCAACAGATATAAATCACACAAAGAAAAGCTAGCTATTTCAGGTCTTCAATGATTTTTTAAGTGCTCGAAGGGATCCTGAGACGAAAAAGTGTAAGGACTTACTGACCTCGGAGCATAGAGATGCGCCGGGTCTTCTGCCCCGCCGACCCCAGCCCATACTCGTGCCTTCTCAGGAAGAGAGTCTCCGGGTAGGTTGATTCTGCGATCCTTGGAGCAGGTTTTTGTGATGCTCCGACATGCTCAATGGCACAAGAGGAATTTGGGGCCATCACTTAGGATCCTGCGATTTCGGAGCAGAAGGGACTGTGGAGAATATCTTTTCCTAGTCCAGCCCCTTACCCGGAGAGAATCTTCTCCCCGTCCAGCCCCAGAGGTGGGAAGAGAATTGCCCTGTAGTAGAACCAGAGCTGGAGGGACCTGGTCACCCACGAAACCCAGCTCAAAGATATTTTGGAGGCTCTGATCGACAGGTGGGTTTGGCACAGTGTTTACCTTTGCCCTTAGGTCGATGCAACATTTGCCAAGGTAGGCATTGGATAGGCTGCTGCCCTGCCCAGTGCTGATTGGCCATTGGCTCCTGATAATGAAAGGCACAACTGGACTTACAGTAGCTTCATCTTGAGCTGACATGCTCTCCTTGATTGTTCCTGGAGAGGTTGGCTATAGTAGGAAGGCCAACCGGTTTTCTTTCTGGCAGTAGAAGCCTCGAGAACGTAAGCTCTTAACCTGAGACACGGGTCAAAACTCACCACTATCCAGTCCGCTCCGTCCCATGTCAACTATAGAGCAGGGTAGAACTGCCCCAGTGGCTTCCAAGACTGTAACTAACTCTTTCTAGGAAGAGGAAACCTCATCTTTCTTGCAGGGAGCAGTTGCTGGTTTCAAACTGCTGACCTTGTGGTTACCAGCCCAAAGTGTAACCCGCTATGCCACCAGGACTCTTTCCCCAGGAGGAGGGCAAACCAAACTCCCTACCCTCGAGTCCATGCTGACTGATGGACAACATAGGACTGTTCCTGTGGGCGCCCAAAACTGTAACACTTTATGGCAGTACAAAGCCTCCTCTTTCTCCCTCGGAGCAGCTGGTGGTTTTGAACTGCTGATCTTGTGATTAGCAGTCCAACTTGTTACCACTGCACCACCAGGGCTCAGACTGATAGCCTTTATGAGTAATAAGAATTGTGGCTTTCAGAGATGTATGTTTACGTTACGAGGGCTGTAGGGTCTTGGTGCAAAATAATTTCTAGACAGTGCCAGAGCACAAATCATGAGCGAGTCTGGTTGCGGGCAAAGCAGCACTGTGTTTGACCACTTCCCCTCCTCCCAGAGGAGACAAAGGGCAGGAGACTGTCGGTGAGACCACTCCCCTGCTCTCAGTCTTCTGATGAGTCCCTGTGATAGGTAGGTTTATCTTGCCAACCTGACCAATAGGAACATGTGGGATTAATCAGGTCGCAGTTTGATTGGAGGGCAATGAGCTAAATGGCTCTGCAAGGCCTGCCCTTCTCTCCCTTGCTCTCTGGTTATCGGAGCTTGCTGGAGCACGCGGGCTGCTACTGTAGCTAGTTCTATGCCGCAACCTGTGAGCTACACTACCTGTGGGCCAGGCAAACCCATGGATCCTGCTGCTAGGGTTTGAGGCTGCTTTGCCACGCTGCTAGTGTACATCGCTTGAGTACCCGGCGTGAAGACTGTTACCCATGCTACACCATGCTTCAAGACAAAAATAAATATTTTACAATATATAATAACATATTGTCTTTGTGATTCATCACTATGCTTTAATGATGTTCAATTTGTAACAATAAAAATACATCCTGCATATCAGATATTTACATGATGATTCATAACAGTAGCAAAATTACAGTTATGAAATATCAACGAAATAATTTTATGGTTGGGGTCACCACAAAATGGGGAACTGTATGAGAAGGGCGCGGCATGAGGAAGGTGGAGAACTGCTGCCCTAATCCTGGCGCTGGCCCTTCCTAGGCGAGCTTGCTGCCCTCAGTAGGTGTTTGGGTCTGAGTCTCCACAGTGGCTAGAACCTGGAGTGCGGAAGGCCGGAGTGCCCTTGGGGACTCCTCTCCCGTGAGTGAAGGGGCTGTTGGAGGCGCCACAGGGAACGTGCTAGGAGAGTGCGCTGTGGGGTCAGCCTGCCTGGGTTTGAGTCCCGCCTTCAGCTGCTTCGTAGGGATGTGGTGTGGCGTTGAACAAGTTATTTCTTCAGATGTGTCCACCCTCAGAGGCTGTCGTAGAAATACACCGAGACCATGTATAAGAGCACTGAATGCCAAGTGTTCAATAGACGCTACCTGTGAATGCTGATAACATTTCGCTTGCCTAACTCCTTTCCATGTTAGATGGTTCCAGACGTTGGTCCACCTGCTGAAAGGCAACATTGGCACCGGACTCCTGGGGCTCCCTCTGGCGGTGAAAAATGCAGGCATTTTGGTAAGGCACTCCATCAGCAGAGGGAAGGGAGGTGACTGTAGGAGAAGGTTTTCTTTTTGTTTTAAATGCACCTAAAGCACTATAACATGGGAATCTTTTGTTCTTAATGGAGCTGGGGAAAAGAAACATTTGACATTTGTTTATCTAAAGGTAGGTATTGAGGGCCTCCCATGTGCCCAGCGCTGTTGTTGACTCGGAATACCCATGTGTGAGCACACAGTCACGGATTCTGGCCCTCACAGTGGGAGAGAGCACTTAGCAATAACACCATGCTTCAGTCACACGTCTATCTGCTTTCTAGTCTTCCCGGCCTCAAACAGCCAACTTTGAGAATCCTACTTCTTTTTAAAATCTCCCTCCCATGAGTACCAATGCTGCCCATCCAGAGGCGTCCCAGTCCTCTTTGCCTGGGCGATGGCTCCGAGGTGCTGGGCGCTGTCTTTGTTGACCTTGCTCCTCCCGTACCCCTCCCTCACCCTGTCTTCTTCCTGAGCCGCTGGGGCCTGCAGACAGCACCGCTTCGGGACAGGCTTATCTTGATGGCATGCTAAGTTCAGAGAGAGCAAATCTCCGTGATCACAGTTCGCTTTCCGATGCTGTGCAGCCAGAGGTACCAGCCGGCACAGACCCTGAGCACTGGGCCGTGAACCACAAGCTCGGTGGTTTACTGTGGGGTTTGACCCTGCTCTCAGCTTCTATAGAGATTACAGCCCAGGAAACCCTCCAAGGCACTTCCACTCTGCCACATGGGGTTTCCATGCGTGGAAAGCCCGCTCGAGGGCGCGGCAGTACAGAAACTGGTGTGTCGGCAAAGCCTGTCCCTAGAAATGGCTCACTTTAATTGCTGGCAAGTTCCGGCTCCCTTGGGCTCAGCTCAACCTCCGTTTGTTTGTCTCTCCCCCTGCTGTCCCCAGATGGGCCCCCTCAGCTTGCTGTTGATGGGCATCGTGGCCGTGCACTGCATGGGCATCCTGGTGAAATGTGCTCACCACTTCTGCCAAAGGTGAGTCTTCCAAGCCACCTTGTCAGCGCACCAACGTCCCCAACACTGAGAGGGACCGTTTGTGCAGATGGGTCCCCAACACTGAGAGGGACCGTTTGTGCAGATGGGTCGCTCAGAAATCCCCCACAGCAGCCTGAGGGAGGGATTGCGCAGTATCAGCACTCCCTTTCCCTGGGGGTGGGGGTTGTTTGTGTCTTCTTGTCTGGCTTGTTGTTACCTGCAAAGAGCCAGGAGCTAGGGATCACATTCCAATTGTATGCAGCTGGTAACACCTGCCACTGAAGTGCTTCTACTAGATGGTTAATTAGAATAGAAGTAAGGATGTGTGGTCATCAGGTGTCAATGGGATCAGGTAACAGACACCAGAAGACCACAAAGAAACAAACAAAAACATTATGGAGAATGAGGGGGTGGGAGCAGAGACCCCAAACCCATCTGTAGACAATAGGGCATCCCTTCATAGAAGGGTCCCAAGGAAGGAATGAGTCAACCAGGGTGCAGTATAGCACCAATGAAACACAATATTCCTCTGGCTCTTTGAGGCTTCCCCACCCCCTTCTATCATGACCCCAGTCCTGCCTTTCAGTTCTGGCTAGACCAGAGCATGTGCACTGGTACAGAGAAATGCTCACGACACACAGAACCCAGGTCAGATAAACCCCTCAGGAACAAAATGGGAGTAGCGATACCAGGAGGGTAGGGGAAGGTGGGGGGAGGAGGGGAGGAAGGGAGAACCGATTGCAATGATCAACATATAGCATCCTCACCCCCAGGGGGATGAACAACAGAAACATGGGAGAAGGGAGACAATGGATCGTGTGAGATATGAAAATAGTAATAATTTATTATTATTAATAATTTATAACAATTAAATATTTATACATTTATTCTTACCAATAGATATTTATAAATAAATAATTAAAATCATAATAATTTAAGGAGTCAAGAGGGTGGGAGTGGGGGGAGGGAGGGAAAAAAGAGGAGCTGATACTAAGGGCTAAATACAAAGTCAATGTCTAGAAAATGATGAGGGCAACATATACGCTTGTAACGACTGATGCATGGAATGTTACTAGTAAAATGACAAAAGTAAAAAGAATAGAAGTAAGTGCCCTGTTGTCTCCACACTTGGGGTCCTGAAATCCCACTGAGCTCCAGGACCCCAGTGGTGTGTCCAGGGGCTTTCTGCCGTGGTCTCACCCACCCACCCTGTCCTCCCTTCTCCCTCCCCTTTGCCAGGCACAACAAGCCCTTTGTGGACTATGGGGACACCGTGATGTATGGACTGGAATCCAGCCCCATCTCCTGGCTTCGGAACCACGCCCACTGGGGAAGGCAAGCGCTCTCCTCCTTCATTTTCAAAGGGCCTCCCGGCGTGGAGGGCGTCAGACGGGGAGGAGAGATCAGGGGACGGTGACGTAAGCAATAGTGGACGATGGACAGTTTGGGCCAGTGGCCTACAGCCTAGTTCCCCTCTGCAGTTAGTAACTTATGTCCGCGATCCCTCTCTTCTCTGGACCTCTGTCCTCGGTAAAATGGAGAGCCTGGCCACTCGGGCTCCAACCCTCTCGAACCAGCAACTGTGTTTCCCTTCTGCCTTCCAGCCCTCACTCATAAAGGACCCAGAATGGTCAGGTCGGGAGGATTCCCTGAGGTAAAATATTGGTCCCCAGGACCTTGGCATCCGTCTAAGGCTAGAGCGATCCAAGAGACCGGCCATATAAACCAGCAAGAAGGGAGTCTCAGGAGACGCCTTCTGGGCCCTGAGCAGGAGGGCCCTTCAAGATGATCTTGTCTTTAAGGGTGCTTAAGGGTGGGCCGCTGGGCAGCAGCAGGCAAGGCTGAGCTGGAACGAGAGAGAGAGCTGGGTTAGGTAGGGAAGTGACACTCCTCAGGAAGCGAGGAGTGCCGGGCATGGCTTCTGGTCATTTTTTCAGCCATCTGGAGGGAAATACATTTTCCATCTTCTACTTGGGAAAATCGGGTATTTAGTTATAGAGAATCAGTGTCATACAGGGCTGAATCTTTTTTAATTTTTAATTGAACCGCTTTAAACCTGTTTCTTAGACAAGTTCCTCTTAGTGGTCTCGGAGGGTACTTGCCTTCACTCCGTCTGCTTCATGCTGCCACCGGTTACGTAATTCTTCCCGCAAAATTATGTTCTGTGACCGAGAGAAGCCTGGTGGCCAGTGACCTCTTCAGTGGGTTAACGGATCTTTCTTCTCTCTCCCTCCCTCTGCTTTGTGCTTCTTGCCTGTTTCCTCCTTTCCACCCTTCAGTAAAACGTAATCACAGTTAAAAAAAAAAGCAAACAAGATCAAAAGATAAAAATTGAAAGTAAATACCCGTCACAGCTGCATGTGTGTCTCTTTGGAAATCTTCCCCATATGAAGACGCCCACACAGGGTCTTTTTACACAAATTGACCACAGCTTGCCTGCTGGTTTACGACTTGCTGCCCTCTCCCCTTTAATGTCTTGTACATTCTTCTCTACCAGCCCGTAGAGATTTAACTTGCTCTTTCCAATGGCAGTGTGATGTTCCGTTTAAGATGGCCCATAACGTCATTCCCTTTGGATGGCCCTTTCGGTGGTTAGCAGCTGTTTTTGTAGCAGTGCTTCCACGAGCAACCTGTTTGGGGACATCTGTTTCTGGGTGCTTCCCTGAGAGCAGGTTGACTCTTGGATGTGACCTATGGAAAGAGACTGTGAAGGGCCACCACCTGGTCTTTTGCATGGAGGGCTCCCTGTAGCTGTAGATAAAGGGTGAGGTGGGGTAGGCGGGCATGTGCGTGGGGAGGAGGCCGAGGGGCTGGGGAGTGGTCCTGGACTCTGTGCTGCCCAGCGCTCATCCCAGTCTTGGGATTCCTCACTCGCTGTCTAGACAAGCAGCCCGACGGGGTCCTCAGACACCACCCAGAGCGTCTGCGCCACCAGAGGGTGGGCGCTGGCACCATTCCTCCTCCCCCAGGGCACGTGTCCTCGTGACATGGTGGGAAGGGTCTCTGATGACCCTGTTAGAGATATCTGTCCCTCCACAACTCTTGCTCTTCTGTAGTGAGCTCTGTCTTCCTTCCGTCCCCAATGCCAGGCACACCGTGGACTTCTTCCTGATCGTCACTCAGCTGGGGTTCTGCTGTGTGTATTTTGTATTCCTGGCTGACAACTTCAAACAGGTAGGCCTTGTTCAAGAGAGAGAGAGAGAGAGAAGGGGGTAGGGGGGGGGAAAGGAAGAGGGGAGAAGAACGGCAAGTATGAGTGGGATTTCTGTTTGGAATGTCAGTTTAGGTTAGTGGTTCTCAACCTTCCTAACGCCACGACCCTAGGTCCTAATTTTGCTACTCTAGATCGTCAGTGAGGATTGAGCAGAAGGCACTGCTTTTTGTAAAATCTTAATTCTTTTGTTGACCTAAACCAGCGGTTCTCAACCTGTGGGTTGCGACCCCTTAGGGGGTCGAATGACCTTCTCATAGGGGTCGCCTGATTCATAAAAGTAGCAAAATTACAGTTATGAAGTAGCAATAAAAATAATCTTATGGTTGGAGGTCACCACAACATGAGAAACTGTATTAAAGGGTCTCGGTATTGGCAAAGTTGAGAACCACTAACCTAGGGCTTCCCAAAGTGCCAGGTGTCCTGTCCATCCTCCTGTCCGTGAGGAGGGTACTGTCAAGTCCACCCCACACAGTGGGTTTGCTAATGATGTTCATGGAGGACTCCAAGTTCGTGAGGGTTGTCCCACACACTGGCAGGGAGGCCCCCACTCAGGCACTCCCTCCGCTGGGAGGACCACGACCTTTGTCCCTTGAATGACTTTTCCTCTTTGGTCCTCCTCCCCTCCCTGTAGGTGATAGAAGCGGCCAATGGAACCACCAACAACTGCCACAACAACGAGACGGTGATCCTGACTCCCACCATGGACTCAAGACTCTACATGATCACCTTCCTGCCCTTCCTAGTGCTGCTGGTTTTCATCAGGAACCTCCGCGCCCTGTCCGTCTTCTCCTTGTTGGCCAACATCACCATGCTGGTCAGCCTGGTCATGATCTACCAGTTCATCGTGCAGGTAGGAGCCCAGGTTCTTGCCCCATCCCCATGACGCAATCAAAGGAGGGAGCAAAGCTATTGGAACGTGGATAGGCAGGCGTGACTTTCGTGTGAAGTAGACTTTTTCTACCTTGGCACTGTTGCTATGTGGGGCCAGCTAAGTCTCTGCTTTGGGATCTGATCTGTGACCTCTCAGACATGGAGCAGCATCCCCGGTCTCTCGGCATTAGATCCCAGGAGCACTGTGCTGCCCTGCTACTGTACCAAACATGATGTCCTTCTTCAGACCCTGGTCTCTCCTGACAACACGCCCAGTGTATGTAAGATCAAGTGTCGCCATCCTTCCCTCTAAGGAGCACTCTGGCTGCACTTCTTCTAAGACAGATTTGTTGTTTCTTTTGGCCGTCAATGGCACTTTCAATGTTTGTCACCAACATCATAATTCAAATGTATCAAATCTTCTTAAGTCTTCCTTATTCAGGGTTCAACTTCCACATGCAGATGATGCAACTGGAATACCATGGGTTGGGTCAGGCACACCGTAGTCCTCAAAAGTACCCTCTTTGCTCCTGATCTTAGGGTTGTGGTATGTCTTGAGTTTGTGTGTGTATGTGTATTTGTATGTGTTGTGTGTGTTTGCATGCCTAACTTATCTTTTAATTCCTTATGCTATTTTTAAACACGATCCATGTGTCTATTGATAATATTTTTCACGTACACAGACTCATTGATGGAAACACAAATCTAATCTAAAAATGTGATACTTTTTCTTCCTGCTTTGTCTGTGTGGTGTGTTCGTACAGTTGTGACTATAGTTGACATATGAACTATAAACACATTTCCTTCATATTATTTCATAAGCCATTTTTATGTGCTATTTACTCCAATTTTCACTTTTTAAATTTATGTAATACTCCACGATATAGTTAAGATGTGGTAATTAGCTGTTTACTTCTTTGGGAGCATTTTCATTTTCACTAATTTTGTTAACCTATCTTTGTTAAATTTTTTTTTGTAGTTTGCTTTTTTTTTTCCCTTGAGAGATGAGGACAATAACGTGACCACTTTTGCACAAGATCCAACATTTGCATTTTGTTTAACTTGGTTTTCAGTTCAACCCTAACCGATGAGGCCGCACTGGAACAGACCTGCATTTTAAAATGCGGGTGATCCAGAATGCTAAGCAAACAGCAGGAGATGGTGCAAAGCCCGCTGGGAACATCACCTCCCTCTTAGACAGCAAGGGCAGGGTGATGTGGCACAGCTGCCCACTCTGGACTGGCAGGATTGAGAACAGCTGCGCCAGACTCGGCAATGGCACCTCTTGCCAGGCTCAGAATGGTGGCACCTCTATCCTCTTGGCAGTAATCTAATGTCACGGATCGTGCTCTTGAAAGGGCTCACCATGCATCCTTCCAGGACTCCAACCCATGTTTTGTTCCCATTTCTATCAGCACTCTGGATGATCCCAATTTTTAAAATTCAAGTCTGTTCTAGTTTTACTTTCTCAGCCATGACTGAACCTGTTATCAGCACTCTGGATGATCCCAATTTTTAAAATTCAAGTCTGTTCTAGTTTTACTTTCTCAGCCATGACTGAACCTGTTAAAACCAATTCAATCGATTTGAAGCCCTAGTGTTTTACAAAGCCCTGGCTAGTCTTTCACCAAAACAGGTTTTCTCACCTTGAAGCGGGGGGGAAAAGAGGACCAGACTTCCATGCCTCGAATTCGTACGTTCCTCTCCCTCAGCGAGTCTTGACCTGCCCGATTTGGGATCCCAGTCGCGACTTTGTGTGCAGTGTGCTGTTTTCTGTTGCCCTCTTTCAGAGCATCCCAAACCCCAGCCGCCTCCCCTTGGTTGCGTCTTGGAATACCTACCCGCTGTTCTTCGGCACGGCCATTTTCGCATTTGAAGGCATCGGGATGGTAAGAGCTGCGGCGCTCGGTTTCCTTGGTGCCATAGGCGTGCTGGAGCTCCGCTTCGAGTAATGCTGAGCAAAGGCGCTTAGAAAGGATCCCTTGAGATTTTATGACCACCAACACGTCCCCTCTCTAACTTCTGAAGATAAAGTCTGTAACTTTTAAACGTCCATCTTGAAAACCCCTCTGTTGCATGCCTGTCTCATAGGCTGCCATACATGGCAATTAGGAAGACAGTCTTGAGTGCTGGTAGTCATGTAACCTTGGGCCACGACCTACCCTCTCTGAGCTTCTACTGCTTCTGAAAAGTGAGCTTAATAACTAGTAAATCCTGGGGTGAAATGAGATGATACTACTAGAATGCTCTGCCCCATTCTTGATACATGGTAAGCATGAGCTAATTATTTTTATTCGTAATACTATCGATTCTGTCATGAAATCAATAGACGTGCATACTGTTCTGTCCTGGAACATGCTATGGTGTATTTTCTGTGTGTAAAAGAACCGCCTGTGACCCAGTCAACACTCCCCACTGCTCCTGAGACTTCGCCAACTCCTTCTCCCCTAGAGAGGAATCTACCACTCACTTGTGCTACATTTGATGGCATTTATATTTTTCATAATAACCGTCCAGAACTCTTTTCCCTGAGGACAGTTGCTGGCTCTGCTGGCCAGGGGCCAGGGGCTGGGGAGGCTAGGAGACCCTCCTCCTGCTGTGGCATCCTCCGTTTCCCTGTGCCCTGTTAAACTTCTGTGCACATCTAGGAGCCAGAAACTGAGAAAACATTGGGTGGTGGGGTGGTGGTGGTGGTGGTCAGAAGCTGATGACTCCCCTGGGCAGTACTGAAGATGCTGGTGCTGAGGGTGAGGCTTTCGGAGTGAACCGTCCCCCAGACTGGGTGCCCATCATCAATGGGTCAGAGGACAATCAGCCCTTCCCTCTGGTCTTCCTTGTGGCTGCGCTTTGGTGCTCCCCCCAGTCACAGACGCAAATGGCTTTCCTGCTGCAGGGTCCCGATCTCAGCAGTGAGAAACAGTGTGTCTGATGTACTGGGGGCTTCAAGGAGGTGGTTGAGTAAGTGTAGAAAGATGTCGGGGACCCGTGTTGCTAAGGACTAAACGGATCCATTTCCCCTAACAACACTGTGCCAAGGGTGTTCTTGGCTTCATCTCCTTAGCCAGGGCTTGGGTACAGGAGCCATCCTCTAAACAACCGTTTAGACGCCTTTGTGTTTTCTCTTTGCACACTGAGGGGACATCGCTCCTCGGGCTCTTTGGGCTGGACTGAAGGGTTTGCAGGGGGCCAGGCTAAGGCATGCCGCTGCTGACCACAAGTTCCTGCGGCCTGAGGCTGGCTGAATGCGGAGGACAGGGGCTCCCTGCCCTCAGACTCTTTGTGCACTCTGTGTGAAGGAAACTGATGGAGAAGTGTCCAAACATCTAGTAGATGTGGATTAACTAGAGCGGGAGACCTT